ACCATGCCCAGCCTGAAGAAAATGTTTCTGTCCTTAAAGAATTTGAGAGTTCAGAAATAAATCCACGTATCTGTGGCCAAGTGATTTTTGACAAGGGGGCCAACTCTATCTGGTGGGGAAAGAATAGTCTCTTCAACAGATGTTATGGGGAAAACTAGATTTTCATACACAAGAGAATTAAGTTGAACCTCACCTATCTCACACCATATACAAAAGTTATCTCAATGATCTAAATATAAAAGCTAAAACCACAAAACTCTTAGAAGAAAACATAGAGGTAAATCCTCATGACCTTGGATTTGGCAATGGATTCTTAGATAGGACACCAAAAGGATAGCAGCAAAAGAAAAAACAGATAAACTGGACTTCATCAAAAGTTAAAACTGACTGGGTGTGGTGGCTCACACCTGCAATCCCAACAATTTGGGAGGCCAAGGTGGGAGGACTGCTTGAGTCCAAGAGTTCAAGACCAGCCTGGGCAACACAGGGAGACCCCATATCTACAAAAAAATTTAAAAACTAGCCAGGCATGGTGGTGCATGCCTGTAGTCCCAGTTACTCGGGAGGCTGAGGTGGGAGGATCACTTAAGCCTGAAAGGTCAAGGCTGCAGGTGAGCTGTGATTGCACCACTGTACTCCACTCTTGGCAACAGAATAGACCCTGTCTCAAAAAAACAAAAACAAACTAAAATTTCTGTGCATCAAAGGACATTATCTAGAAAGTGAAAAGACAAGGATGAGAGAAAAAATTTGGAAATCATATATCTGATAGATGTTTCACATTCTGAATATATAAAGAACTCTACTGCTCAAAAACACAAAAGACAACCCCATTTAAAAATGGGCAGAGGGGCCGGGCACAGTGGCTCACACCTGTAATCCCAGCAATTTGGGAGGCTGAGGCGGATGGATCACCCGAGGTCAGGAGTTCAAGACCAGCCTGGCTAACATCGTGAAACCCCGTTTCTACTAAAAATACAAAAAATTAGCCAGGCGTGGTGGCAGGCACCTGTAATCCCAGCTAGCTACTCGGGAGGCTGAGGCAGGAGAATCACTTGAACCCGGGAGGCGGAGGTTGCAGTAAGCCAAGATCGTGCCATTGCACTCCAGCCTGGGCAACAAGAGCAAAACTCCATCTCCAGGAGAAAAAAAAAAGGCAAAGGACTTCAACAGACATTATTCTAAAGAAGACATACAAATAGTCAATAAGCATATGAAAAGATGCTAAACAACATTAACCACAAGAGAAATGCAAATCAAAACCACAATGAAATACAACTTCACATCTACTAGGATAGCTATACTAAAGATAAACAGAAAATAATGAGTGTTGGCAAGGATGTGGAAAAACTGGAATCCTTGTACATTGCTAGTGGGACTGTAAAATGGTGAAGCTGTCATACAAAATGATATGACAGTTCCTCAAAACCTAAACAGAGAATTACTATACGACCTAGCAATTCTGCTGCTAGGTATACACCCAAAAGTTTTGAAATCAGTCACTCATACACCTGTATACTATTGTTCATTGTAGCATTTTCCAATAGCCAAAAGATGAAAACAACCCAAGTTGTCCGTCAACGTAAGAATAAATAAAATGTGGTATATACACTTGATCTTAGCCAAAAGGCTGAGAAGTGATAAAATGCATACATATACAAAGGATATTCCTTTTTATTCAGCCAAAATAAGGAGTGATATTCTGACATATGCTATAACATGGATGAACTATGAAAATTTTATGCTAAGTGAAACAGTCAGACAAAAAATGACAAATACGATTCCACTTACATAAAATACTCAGAATAGGGACATTCATAGAAGCAGAAAGCAGATTAGATGTTCCCTGGGAAAAGGGGAAGGGATAAGGAGAAGTCTCAGTTTCTTTTGCGTTGCTATAAAGGAATACCCGAGGTTGCATAATTTATAAAGAAAAAAGGTTTATTTAGCTCATGATTCTCATGTCTGGAGAAGCTCAAGATTGGGCATCTGCATTTGGTGAGGGCCTCAAGTTGCTTCTACTCATGGCAGAAGGCAAAGGGGAGCTGGCAGTGTAGAGAGTACGTGACCAGAGAGAAAGCAAGAGAGATGGGGGTGGGGTGGGGTAGGGTGGGGGGGTTGGGGGGGAAGGTACAGGCTCTTTTTATCAAACAGTTATAGTGAGAACTGACAGAGCAACAACCCATTCACCTCCAAAGGAGGGCATTATTCATGTATTCATGAGGGATCTGCCCTCATGACCCAAACACCTCCCATTAGGCCCCACTTCCCAATACTGCCACACTGGGGATCAAATTTCAACATGAGATTTGGTAAGGACAAATATCCAAACCATAGCAGGGAGTTATTGCTTAATGGTTACTGTGTTTCTGTTTAAGGTATTGAAAAGTTTGGCAAACAGTGACAATGATCGCACAATACTGTGAATGTACTTAATGCCCCTGAATTGTACACTAAAAAATTGTTAAAATGGCAAATCTACGTTATATATATTTTACCACTTCAAAAAGTTATTTATATAAAAAAGAAGCGTATACTTTAAATGGGTGAATTACATGGTATGTGAGTTATAGTTCAGTAAAGTTGTTAATTAAAAAAAAGAAAGAAAAGCAGGTGTCCTAGCCGTAGTGTCTCTTGGGATGCAATTACACCTGAAACCAAAAGATAACATCTGTCTTTGTCCCCAGTTTCCACTTCACTCAGAAATATCTGTCACATAGATCTCCAAGTTACAAATTCGATTTAATAAACACATGGCATATTCTAAGTTCATCCCGCATACCAACAGTTATTGGGTACTTATGTACCAGGCTCTGGGCAGGACACTAACCTCAGAGTGGGGGAGTCTGGAGAGACCAAGAGATGATTATAGTATAACAATGGGAGTGTCCTTATAAAGGGAAGCAGCATAGGACAGAATGGGAAGGGTCCTAGCTCTGCCAAAGAAGGCTTTGGTTTAAAACTTTGGAGAAAAGTGGCCAGGCGTGATGGCTCACACCTGTAATCCCAGCACTTTGGGAGGTCAGATCACTTGAGGTCAATAGTTCGAGACCAGCCTGGACAAAATGGTGAAATCCTGTCTCTGCAAAAATAGAAAAATTTGCCGGGCATGGTGGCGCACATCTGTAAATCCCAGCTACGCCAGAGGCTGAGGCACAAGAATCTCTTGAACTCGGGACATGGAGGTTGCAGTGAGCCGAGATCGTGCCACTGCACTCCAGCCTGGGCGACAGACGGAGACTGTCTGAAAAATAAAAAAATAAAACTTGGGAGCAAGAAATTAATCCACTGTTGTTTTTAAACTCTTATGCATGTACTTAATTTTCAAGATTCTATGACCAAACTGGAAAATGATAAATACAAAAAAATCCATCTATTTTTGCAAATGTTATTAAAATGTAAATAAAAAAGATGAAAAACCATATTCCACTTATTTTCACTGATGGAGATGATGCCAAGCACTTGAAACTTCAAAGAAAGCTTTTTCAGTATCTCATACTTACCCATCAATCTTTTAAAATCCCTTCCCTAGCAACCCAACACCTAAGTTTCAGAGCATGACTTAAACACCAACATGTTCATCTAATCCTACCTGAATTTTGCTTTAACTTAGGTTTATCCTTATTGGGGACTGAAATGATTTGCTCAAGATAAACTGAAGTCAGTGTAAAAATTACTCAGATGATAGTAGTTACTAGGATGCTCATAGTTCCCTTTTCAACAAAAGCCCCAGGTATGACCAGCCAATAATGCAAGTCACACTTAAGTGTTGACATCTTCATACCCGGCCCGGCCCCGTATGAAGTGAGGGGGGTCTCCAGTAAAGTCAGTCAGGAAGCTCCTCGAGCCAAGTATTCCCAAATGCTACTTACTGGAGGTACAAAAATGAGAATAACTTTTCTGAAGTTATTCATTTCACAATCTATACCAGAAGCCTTGTGGTAGAGATTGTAGATTCTATCTTGTTTTAGAACGAATCTTGTGGGATTCATTCTACACAAATGATCATGCTCAAAATCCCAGATGCAACGGTGCTCAGTTAATTACTTTTTGCAATAACTAAAAACTGGAAACCACTTGGGTGCTCACAATCAGGGAGAAACTACCTTTAGTAAATCACATTCCAGTCAAAGCCATGCCAGGAGTCAGGGATAGATGAGGCAGTCAACCTGGCACACAGGAATGTACAGTCTAGTGTGGCCAATAAAAAGGACGCAGAAAAACATTTAAAGATACGGGTAAATGCATGTGATGTATTATTAAGACAATGAGGCCGAAGGTTGAGGCTGCAGCAGTGAGCCGAGATCGCGCCACTGCATCATTCCAGCCTGGGCGACAGAGCGAGATCCTGTCTCAAAGGAGAGGGAGCGAGCGAGAGCGAGCGAGCGTGTTTCAGCACTTTATGATGCAGGTTCTGCAAAAATAAGCCCCGCTCATATTACAAGGAAAAACCGTCTGGAAGAAAATACATCTTCATGTTAACCCAGCTTGTCTCTGGGGAACACGGGCACGGCTGCTTTGCTTGCTTCCTTGTTGCTTTCTGTTCTTTTTTTCGACAGTGACAAATATTATATTTAGAGTTCGCGAACAGGCCGGAGGCGGGTGCGGCAGGTCGCGGGGCAGGGCCTGGCCAGGCAGGGACGGCCAGGCAGGGACGCCCCCGCACCGCCCCGGTCTGGCCCCGCGCCCCGCCGCACCTCTACCTTTACCCGCGGTGAGCGGGAGCCGGGTCCCGCCCCAAGGCCTGGGATCACCGGCGGGCCGGCTGGAAGCGTCCGGAACTCACCCAACGCCTCACCCGCCTGGGTCTCACCGACCGCGCAGACACCTCCCGCCGCCGCCGCCGCCGCCCAGAGATGGCCGCCGCCTGCGCAGCAGGGCCGAGGGCGTGGGGATGCCGGGGGCTGTGCGCAGGGGCTTCCAGGGTGCGGAGCTGACGGGCCCGAGGCGTCCAGGCGGGCGCAGGCGCGACCCCGACCCCACCCGGGCTGCTACCTCACCTGTGCGCTGTGGGCCGTGGGAGGCTCTGGGGTAGGTTTCACCAAACAACCGGTTGGTTCCGACTCGGCTACGTAGGCCGCGTGGCCTTGCTTCCCTCGCAGAGAAACAGGCGCAGCCGGCGCGGAGGTTGAAAGCTCTGCGGGCGCGAGTACCCAACGCGCCGACTGTTTGTCGCGCCTCAGGTCCCCTGGGGCGCCCAGTGCAGGAGGCCACCCCTCCCGCCGCCACGGACCCAACCCCGGTCCTCTGCCTTAGCCGAAGGCCGCACCCTCCGCACACAGGCCTTCCTCAGCCCCAACCCAGGACATCACCAGGTCCCGCAGTGCGTCCAGTCTTCCCGCCCGCAAGTGTGGGTAGGAGCCGGCCGCTGGCCCCGCGCTGGGCACAACCTGGTGGGCTAAACCAGCCCTGTGCCTGCTCTGCAGCTATGGGGAAGGGAAACCTGGTCATGGCAGCTATGGCATTCGCTCCTTAAAACCTCTTTATGGAGTCTCATTCCTTTTTTAAAGACCCAAACTACTTAAGGTGGGCATGAAGCCCCCATGTGTGATCTAGCCCCTGTCTGCTTGGCTTCATTTAGGTCCTTAAAGGATGCAGGTTTCTTCTCACCTAGGGCATCTGCAAATGCTCTTCCCTCTGCCTGAACACTCCTCACCTCTTCCCTGTTGTGAGTGTTCTTCATATATCATTTCTTAGGTTATACTATCCTGGCCTATGAGACTTTGCAGCATTGCTGGGTGTGGTGGCTCATACCTGTAATCATGGCATTTTGGGAGGCAGAGTGGCGGATCGCTTGAGTCCAGGAGTTCAAGACCAGCCCGGGCAACATGGCAAAAAAAAAAAAAAAAAAAAAAGAAAGAAAGAAAAAGAGAGCGAGAGAATGAGAAAAAAAGAAAGAAAATAATTAGCAGCTCAGGCCTGTAATCCCAGCTACTTGGGATGCTGAGGTGGGAGAAGTGCTTGGGCCCCAAAGGGAGGTAGAGGCTGTAGTGAGCTGTGATTGCACCATTACACTCCAGCCTGGGCAACAGAGCGAGACCCTGTTTCATTTAAAAAAAAAAAAAAAAACACACACACACACACAAACCAGCCGGGCTCAGTGGCTCACACCTGTAATCCCAGCACTTTGGCACTTTGGGAGGCTGAGGCAGGCATGGCAAAACCCCATCTCTACTAAAAATACAAAACTTAGTGGGGTGTGGTGGTGCATGCCTGTAGTCCCAGCTACTTGGGAGACTGAGGCAGGAGAATTGCTTCAACCTGGGAGGTGGAGATTGCAGTGAGCTGAGATTGCGCCACTGCACTACAGCCTGGGTGAAGAGCAAGACTGTCTCAAAAAAAAAAAAAAACCAAAAAAACAAAACAAACAAACAAAAAAAACAGCTGGGCACGGGGGCTCACACCTGTAATCCCAGCACTCTGGGAGGCCAGGGTGTGCGGATTGCCTGAGGTCAGGAGTTTGAGACCAGCCTGGCCAATGTAGTGAAACCCTATCTCTACTAAAAATACAAAAATTAGCCGGGCGTGGTGGCATGCTTCTGTAATCCCAGCTACACAGGAGGCTGAGGCAGGAGAATGACTTGACCTCAGGAGGCAGAGGTTGCAGTGAGCTGAGATCACCTCACTGTACTGCAGCCTGAGCCACAGAGTGATACTTCATCTCAAAACAAAAACAAAAACAAAAAAAACACAAAGATTGCAGCACCAGGGATTCTTCTTCCTAGCCCCTTTCAGGGTGTGCAATAATTTGTGTAATTTTTGTTGAATGTGTAACTTAACAGTAGACTGAGATCCATGAAGGCAGAGACCACGGCCGCTTGGCTCTCATTCTTGTATGTCTCACATCTGCACCGCGCAGGCCCATATTAGCTCTGGTAAATATTTATTAAATGAATGAATGAATGAAGAGCAGGCCTGGGTAGTGTCTTAGGTGGCCTTGATTTTCAATTTAGGGAGGACACAATATTGCCTACAGAGAGTGAGAAAAGTTGTTGAGTGGGCCATGTGAGGAGCAGTGAGTGGTCCCTGTGGAGAGTGGGCCCAGTCATAGAATAGAGACAAGTGAAGGGATTTTGGAGGGTTTTGAGGGCCCAGCGTATTTGGGGGCTGCTATGGCTTGAATGCTGGTATCTCCCCGAAATTCATATGTTGAAACCTAACCCCCAACACATTCAGATTAAAAGGATGAGTCCTTTGTGGGGGAAATTGGTGCCCTTGTGAAAGAGGCTTGAGGGAGCCTGTTTGACCTTTCTGCCATGTGAGGATGCACTGAGAAGACACCATGTTTGAAGCAGAGAACAAGCCCTCAGCGGACTATGACTCTGCTGGAGCCTTGATCTTGGATGTCCCAGCCTCCAGAACTGTGAGCAATACAATTCTGCTGTTTATAAATTACCCAGTCTAAGTTTTTTTTTTTTTTTTTTTTTTTGAGATGGAGTCTTGCTCTGTCGCCCAGGCTGGAGTGCCGTGGCCGGATCTCGGCTCACTGCAAGCTCCGCCTCCCAGGTTCACGCCATTCTCCCGCCTCAGCCTCCCGAGTAGCTGGGACTACAGGCGCCCGCCACTTCGCCCGGCTAGTTTTTTGTATTTTTTAGTGGAGACGGGGTTTCACCGTGTTAGCCAGGATGGTCTCGATCTCCTGACCTCGTGATCCACCCGTCTCGGCCTCCCAAAGTGCTGGGATTACAGGCTTGAGCCACCGCGCCCGGCCCAGTTTTTTTTTTTTTTTTTTTTTTTTTTGAGACAAGGTTTTACTCCAGGTTGGAGTGCAGTGGCATGATCACAGCTCACTACAGCCATGATCCACATCCTGGGCTCAAGCGATCCCGCTACCTCAGCCTCTCAAGGAGCTGGGACTATAGGTGCATGTCACCACACCTGGCTAATATTTTAAAAATTTTTTATAGAGGCCGGGCACGGTGGCTCAAGCCTGTAATCCCAGCACTTTGGGAGGCCGAGGCGGGCGGATCACGAGGTCAGGAGATCGAGACCATCCTGGCTAACACGGTGAAACCCCGTCTCTACTAAAAAAAAAAATACAAAAAACTAGCCGGGCGAGGTGGCGGGCACCTGTAGTCCCAGCTACGTGGGAGGCTGAGGCAGGAGAATGGCGTAAACCGGGAGGCGGAGCTTGCAGTGAGCTGAGATCCGGCCACTGCACTCCAGCCTGGGCGACAGAGCGAGACTCTGTCTCAAAAAAAAAAAAAATTTTTTTATAGAGACAGGGTCCTACTATGTCGCCCAGGCTGGTCTCAAATTCCTGGGCTCAAGCAATTCTCCCACCTTGGCCTCCCAAAGTGCTGGGATTACAGGCTTGAGCAACTGTACCTAGCCTTTCTCCCCCTCCTCCCTCCTCCCTCCCTCCCCTCCCCCTCCCCTCCCCCTCCCCTTCTGCTTCCCCTTCCCCTTCCCCTTCCCCTACTTCTCCTTCTCCTTCTCCTTTTCCTTCTTGTATATTTATTGTTGTTGTTGTTGTTTGAGATGGAATGTCACTCTGTCACCCAGGTCTGGAGTGCACTGGCATGATCTTGGCTCACTACAGCCACTGCCTCCCAGGTTCAAGCAATTCTCCTGCCTCAGCCTCCTGAGTAGCTGGGACTACAGGCGCACGCCACCACGCCCAGCTAATGTTTATATTTTTAGTAGAGATGGGGTTTTGCCATATTGGCCAGGCTGGTCTCGAACTTATGACCTCAGGTGATCCACCCACCTCTGCCTCTCAAAGTGCTGGCGTGAGCCACCACACCCAGCCTTTCAAGTATTTTGTTACAGCATTTTGTTACAGCAGCCAAAATGGACTCAAGATAGGGACATCTAGGCCCTATTGTGTAACTTCTTTCTGCATCTTTATGTTAATATAAAGGACTGTTTCATCTTTGGGGTTTGTAGGATAGGTGCAGTTTCTAGGTGCTAAGCAAGTATGTGAGAGAAAGTAGTTAAGAGACAATAGGAAACAACCTACTGATGAGGTAACCAGTCTGCAAAGTGATAAAGACTGATTACTAAGCAAATTATGATACAAGGATTCTACTTAGCACTGCTTTTTTGTTTGCTACCCTGTACTGAGGGCTCCCTGAAGACAAAGACTTCATATTTGTATTTTCTTCTGCAGCAGTGTTTTTTGTCTTTTTTTTTTTTTTTTTTTTGAGACAGAGTTTCATTCTGTTATCCAGGCTGGAGTGTAGTGGCATGATCATAACTCGCTGGAGCCTCAAACTTCTGGCCTCAAGCAATCCTCCTGCCTCAGCCCAAGTTGCTGGGGTTATAGACATAAACCACCAGCCCCAGCTGCTGCAGCAGTGTTTTGAACAGAGAGTTTGCAATAAATGGTTGTTGAAATAATGAATTGGGGGGAAAGGTAAAAGGCTCCAGAGTGGAAATTCCCAGAGGTGAGAAACAGCTAGCTGATTTCTTCTGGTCTTTATTTCTTCTGAGAAACAATCCTGAGTTGCTGGGCTAGAACCAGGAAACCCTGGTTGGGGAGCAGCTCAAAGACATTATTGAATGAAGGATGTTTTCTTAAAAACTTGAAGAATCTGGATACCTTTTACAAGACCAATAAGGTATAATTTATAAAATGCTTGTTACGTGACTTATATGCCATTGCCTCTAGTTCTCACAACAGTTCAATGATTCTATTTACCTCCTTTTACAAAAAGACCCAAAGCCCAAAGCCCTTCAGAAGTTTCAGGGCCAAGATGGGGAGCCAGGCCTGTGGGATTGGAAAAGTTTATGTTAACGGAGCCTGTTATTAGAGAAGTATTGATTGTGCTTGAAGAAAAATCCAGGCCTACTCTTAGAGGCCTTGGGAACCCCTCTGCCCAGGGGTTTCAGAGTACAGCAGAGTCTGGCCTGCCCATGAGGTACACCCAACTCTGCCCAGAGTAGGGAAGGCAGTCCACAATTCCTCCATTGGCTTGTTCTGTGCCACTGTTTCCTCTCTGGGCATAGTTTCTGGGGTACCTGGCATTGAGGAACATACCAGTTTGGGCTGCATTTTCCACCTATCTATCCTACAGGCCCAGGACATCTGAGGTAGTATATTAGTTCATTTTCATGCTGCTGATAAAGACATACCAAAACTGGGAACAAAAAGAGGTTTAATTGCACTTACAGTTCCATATGGCTGGGGAGGCCTCAGAATCATGGCGGGAGGTGAAAGGGCACTTTACATGGTGGCAGCAAGAGAAAATGAGGAAGAAGCAAAAGCAGAAACCCCTGATAAACCCATCAGATCTCATGAGACTTATTCACTATCATGAGAATAGCATGGGAAAGACCAGCCTCCATGATTCAGTTACCTCCCCCTAGGTCCCTCGCACAACA